ACGTCCAACCCCACAGAAGGGATCCAGGCTGGAGCAGGCTGCTCCTGAAGGACAGCACCCCGTGGGAGGGATCCCAAACTGGAGCAGTTTGTGAAGAACTGCAGCCCACGGGACGGACCCATGTTGGAGAAGTTCATGGAGGACTGTCTCCCATGGGAGGGACCCCACACTAGAGCGGGGAAGAGTGTGAGAAGCCCTCCCTCAGAGTGGCAGAGACAATGTCTGATGAACTGACCACAACCCCCATTCTCTGTCCCCCTGCACTGCTGGGGTGTGCGGAGGTAGAGAGAAGTTGGAGCAAAACCGAGCACTGGAAGAAAGGAGGGTGAGGGGAAGGTATTTTAGGATCTGAATTAAGTATTTTTTTTGACTCTGATTTGATTGGTGATTTTTTTTTCCCCACCCAAGTTGAGTCTGTTTTGCCCGTGACAGTAACTGGTAAATGATTTCTCCCTGTCCCTATCTCAACCCACAAGATTTTCCTTGTATTTTCTCTCCCCTGCCCAGCTGAGGAGGGCAGTGACAGAGCAGCTTTGGTGGGCACCTGCCCTCCAGCCAGGGTCAGCCCACCACACTCAAATATCACACTTCCACAGAAGAGTAAACTTCTCATAGTAGGCAGTTACCAACTAACCAGCTTTGACAAAAGGAATTTCTCAGTGTATTCAACTACTAAAAGCCATTACTACGACTAAAGACCTAGGAAAGGAAATAATCGAGAGACGGAAGACGAACAATTTAGTTCAATACCTGCACTCCCCTTGACTGACCTAAATGCATCAGAAAGGAAAAGTGAAAACCAAGGACTCACAGACCTAAAAACCTGGGCATGCCACAGCAAACACAGCAGCAAGCTCGCAGAGCCCAGCAGTGGGGAGATCAGGAGCAGCCTGCAGCTGGAACAATGGGACACACTATTTGGACGTGTAGACATATGATCAGCAGTAGAGCTGAGACTGCAACTCCAAAGTATGGAAGAGTACAACCGAATATTGTGCGTGGAATGTGGGTTTTGATGGTGATGGTTTGGGGCTTTTGTGGGTGAGGTGAGCGGGGCGGGTGGGTGTTGGTGTGTGTGTTTTTGCATCAGGCTAGTTTTCCTAGACTACCACCTCACAGGACCAAACGCTGGACTGCAATTTCTGAGGAGCACACGTGCATTCCTTAAGCACACATGCATTCCTTAAGCAAATATTCCAGTTTGGCCTCATTGAAAAGGAATTTGGTTTGCATACTCCCACATGAAGTGAGCGGGGCGGGTGGGTGTTGGTGTGTGTGTTTTTGCATCAGGCTAGTTTTCCTAGACTACCACCTCACAGGACCAAACGCTGGACTGCAATTTCTGAGGAGCACACGTGCATTCCTTAAGCACACATGCATTCCTTAAGCAAATATTCCAGTTTGGCCTCATTGAAAAGGAATTTGGTTTGCATACTCCCACATGAAATCTAGACTGCAGTAAGCAGAGCTAACTACACACTCCTGATCCAAACTACGATGCTAATAAAGTAAGTCAAACGTTACTGAGTTACAGTACAAGAAGAGTACACAGATGCGTTTCAGACATGCGACAGTGTTAGCTTCAGCTGCCCCCTGAAAGTTATGACACAATCCTGCAGTGAGGTTTTGCTGCAGCTACCATATATTCCCATTATTAAGATACACTTTCCTTGGAGCTGCGGTGATCTGCTGAAGACAACACTAACTGAGTACCATTGCACAGAAATATCTGGCCAGAAAAAAATCTGGTGTTTGACTCTCTTAAGAAAGCAAGTCCTTATTCACTGTGAAGCAGTCAAAACAAATTTTATCCATTTCTCCACTTCGTATGTCTCTGCTCAAGATGTTTCCTGTTCAGTGATGGATTAAAAGCAGGTATGTAAGGCCAGCACTAAATCAGAGAAGTGCTGGTGCTGTGACTGAGTAAGCACCAACTGCAAACATAAATACTTCATGTGTTTCCTTAGCCACAGGTGTAAAACAAGCTCTCTCCTATCAAAACAGAAATTGTTACAGCTATTAAGAAATATGGAGATAGCAAAAACTGCTGTTATTGATGCTAACAGGAGAAGAAATTCAGGAAATGCTCAAAGCAGACACCCTAGTAACCTTGGTCATTATGGACATCTTTGTGTACCCTAACACTCACACATAAAATATCTCTACGAAATTACCTCATTGTATTTCTTACCTCGCTATTTCTTCAACACCTTTGTACCCTAGGTAAGAACTGAGACAGTGTAAATTAGATATGCCTACAAGCCAAGATTGGATTAGAAATACCCTGTGTTTTAAAAATCAGAATGTATACAGTTAAAGTTTTAACTGTGGCCAATATACTGTCATTCACTGCTTACAACCTATAAATTATGAACTGCAACACAAACATATCATCTACTCACTGTATGAAAGCCTTCAATGAGTATTTTTAATTTATGTACTATATACTTCCAAAACTAGCCTGATAAAATAAACTCTTTTTGAGCAGGAATAAGTTATAATCAAAAGCATTTAGGTTAAAATTTTGGCTAGTGAACACTTTGCATGCATTCAAGAAGCCAAACAAACTGCAAAGAGCTACTGAGTCAGAGGCACCAAGAAAAACACAATCTACTCAAAAATTACTGAAGTTCACTTGTATCCAAGTAACAGATAACAGCACATTAACAAAATCAGTTTGAAAGCCAATGAAAAACAGTGGCTGCGTTGGCAGTTAAATTAGTAATTTTGTCTACAGAGAATCTGACCAAGTTTTAGGAAAGAAGGACTGATGTAGATATGTTCTCATGTAGTCACTCTACATATTAGAAGTTTACTTCTGAACCTACTGTTCATGCAGAGCTTTGTCTATTTGACTTAAAAATGATCAGCCACCTTGGTAGTCAGCAATCCACAGTTATAATAGTAAAAATGCCCAGGGTAGAAAAACCCTGAAGCAAGCACAATCTGATCATATTCTTCTATATGTTTATACATGGAGGACCTTCAAGGAGGCAGAGGTGTTAGATGTCATTTCAAGTGATAAACTTATAAAGTAAGTAAGGTACTTCCGACCTTACCTACAAACTTAGCTGAAGTACTGCATTTGGTTACATTTTTATATACACATGCACATATGTAGGCATGCATATATGAACGCATCTCCCTTCATTGATTTGCTATACCAAAAAAGACATACATGAGCATAGCCTCGTGTATCTGCCAGCTTCCAAAGGGATCTTAAAATGCTTTTGGGAAACAGACAACCCCGCCTTAGGGAACAGCGAAACACATCTGAAAAGTCGCAGCTATCAGTATGAGCATCTCAAAGCCACTGCATCACAACAAGAGTAGATACTGAGGCTGACTGCTCTATGGTGAAGTGACTGACAGAAGAGAACAGCTGACTTCACTACTATATGTTCTTAACCTGAACTCCCTCAAAAGTCAGAGTCTGGTTTTTGGTAGGCTTTCCAAAAGTTTAAGCTTTTACCAATCCTTTCTTGACCGTATTTACTATTCTCATGATTACAGTGAACATGAGTTCTTAAGTATTTTCTACAAAAACAGTGAGCCGTATCTTTTCTTCTACATTGGAAATACAAATATTTCCTGTAGGGAATTCTTGATCAAAGCTAGCTCACAGACACAATTTCCCAACAGGATGTTATATTACCCAAACCTTGCATGAATACAAAGAGAAAGACTACTTAGAGAAATGCAAGTTCCTAATAACACAGAAAACTTTCTCAAAACAAGTGAGGCAGCGTGAACTCCAGCCTTACAAATCTGACAAGAAGTTACAGTGCGAAAAGCAGAAGCTTGCAGTGATTTAGAGTACATCACACTGAGAAAAGGAAATTCTAGCAAATTTTTAATCTTCACAGAAACCAAAGAAACCTGCAAGACAAAGCACATAGTCTCATATGGGTGCTGATGACAGCTTAACCAGAACAAAGGGAAAGATAGGGGAGCCATATGTTTAAATAATTTATGTTCTTTATTACTTACCGTATCCCATATCTGAAGCTTTATCTGTTTTCCATCAATAGTTATCATTCGAGCCCCAAATTCTACACCTGAATAGATTTTACAAAAGGTTACATTATTAGCATACATCAGAAAGAAAAATGTCAAGTACTACGAATGCAAGAACCTGTTTAAGTCAACTCAACATTTGTAGAAAATCTCTTTCACTGTCTGCTTTTAGTTACTTTTCCAACTGCTTGAAAGAGCAAGAAAATTTTCCAGGAGGAAGAAAACTGTTACAAGTGCTTTAAAAATGCATTAATTAGGCAACTGTCAAGGAGGTATTTCCTACCAAGTTTTCCAACTGTTTAATAGCTCTAGATCAGAGGGGGGGAAAATATGTCTGTCTGAATGCAAGCAGGAAATGGAAGTCACAGTTACTTTACCACTCTACCAATGACAGATCGCTGACACCAGTTTAGAAGAATTGAAACTACAGTTCTTTACCAATAAAATATTCTATTAAGTGAGCATACAAATGTCACCTTCAAGATGATAGATTTTATTACTGTATTAATTAAAACTCATCTGCCTTTATGAAAAAAAAAAGCTTCCAAAACTCTGCCTTGTTAAAGATTAAATTTAATAACCAGGGAAAAAAAATTAATGTTTCAAATAAATTAAAAAAAAGTCTTCAGTGGAAAAATTCAGCATTTTGTACTGTCTTTTAAAGCAATTTTAAGATAATTAACAGTAAATTAAGCATAAATTGAGGCTATTACTACAGCAGTTAATAAAATCTGACAAACACCTAAAGGTAGTGGACGTATTTAAAGGCTATCAAGTTTCCATTGATCTATGCTTCCTATGCTATTTCAGAAAACAAATAAAGATCTGGTAGCCTAAGTTTTGTCTAAAATTGGTCACTGTCTAGATTTGGACTGAAGTCTTCCAATTAAGCAGCCCTGATTTGCAGTATTCCAAAAGTCTCTTCAAAAGCTTGTTTAGAATATCTGGAGGGGGGGCAGTGTTGCTTTTTGCAGAATGGCTTTTGGGAAAGGAGGCAGGGAAGAACCACTCTCCCCCACCTTCCAGGATATCAGAGCCAAGTAACATCGTGCCCTCTTAGCATCCAAATAACTTGGAGAAAGTGTATGGAAACAGATGGAAAGACTAGAGGGGGAGGGACAGAAAGGAGGAAGCAGGTGAATGACAATGCTTTCCCTGAAGTTGGCTGCAGAGCCACAGGCAGGTCCTTGGCCTACAAGTGTCAACAGTGCAGGTCTTACTTGATCTCAATTTGCAGATACAGAGCTGCTGATTTAAATCCAGCAATCATCCTATATGTTAATTTCCGCACACATCCCTACAGAAAAAAAAAGAATATTTATCCTGTTCCATCAAAGTATCTGCTGAGAGAAAAGTCTAAATGTGAAACACCAGGGTTTGATGGCAAGTTTGTTCTCTGAAGAAGGAACAGAAGCTGCCCAGGTTTACAAGTAAGGGCACTTCCTAAGGGCAATGGCAAACTAAACCATGTTTACAGTGGTTTTTGTCAGCCACCACTAACTACAAATGTTGTGAGTCTGTTTTTCTCCCCCCCCTTTTTTTTTTTGTGTCTGCTTTTTGCTTTTGTTGGGTTTCTTTTTGGGGGGTTGGTGGGTGCTTTCCCACCCCAACTGCATCATGCAGCTTCCACATGTCCAATTGCAGTTTTCTTTCTACTCCCTGGAGTTGCAGGAATAGCATCTACACTCCCAAACGCTCAAATCACTGTATTATATTGAAAGAAGTTAGGCTATGTAAAACAAGCCTTTTTATCCAATCTACGGGCTCTCAGGAGTTTTAACATCAGAGGGAAGTGCATTGTGGTTTCTCTCTCGTTCTGAATTTGTTTGGGTACCTGGGAGAAGCATTCTCCTGCCTAAAACACACACATATGCCCTGTTACTTAAGTGAAAGGAGGCTGCTTCCAGCCCATGCCCCTTCTTCCCCCTTCCAAGCAGCTTCCCATGTTCTCTTCCTACAACCCTCATTATGTTGCTATCCAGGTTCACCTTCTCATCCCACTAGCTTCAGTTTATGCTCCCAGACTTCAGCTAGTTAAATGCCAGGCAAAGAACTGGTACTACAGACGCCCTGCTGAGGTGAAACTGTTTCCCACAGCCTATAAGTTTGCTGATGGGACAGGGCTGACAGAGGCATGAACGATACATAAGGCGTCATATATTTGGCAGGCCTAAAGAAGAAAAGATGACAATAACTTATGCCTCCCTAGAAGAACTGAGGCTCCTTATTTGGCCAGCCTATCTGCTGCCAAAACCTCAGCAATATTTGAAAACTGATGTTAGCCTGAGAATTTGAATTACATTATACAGCCAGGCACAAGGTGTGGGAGGACTGTCAAGAAAAAGGGAAGCCATAACCAAACCACCTGATACATTCTGTTACGTGAAGAACATTTGTTTATATTGCAAGCATCTATTTCAGTACTCCCAAACACAGGAATCCTACCTATTCCAGGGCACAAACTAAAAATAGAGACCAGGGACACATTTTGTGCAAGGCTCAGCATGATTGGAGTCTACAGGTTCCTTGAAATAACATCAAGAAGCTGTTCAAAAGTTCTACAGCCTAATCAGAGGCTAGCGTCTGTTGTGCTTAGCAGTGAAACTCTCTGAAGACTAAGCTTGCCCATAGAATTTATTCCCACGCTGTTCGTCATCTTTTGTGTGGAAAGATAAAAAGAAGTTTGGATCATTTACTGCAGTTTGAGCAGAGGCAATGCATTCTGTCAATATGTGTTCATTACCCTTAGTGTCAGTATCAAATCATACCTAGCACAAATCCAGTCCACATCCAGTTGAGGAGTCTGGCCCCTCCAAACAGGGAGTACCTTCACACTTCAATCCAGATCTACCTAGAAGTTAAGTCTGCCCAAATCATAATTTGTTTATTCACCTTTAAGGTTAACTTTGCTTTAGTTTATCTGTAACTTGTCTTTAAGGTTCTGTGGCTAGGCCAATATTCCATTCCCTAGTGAAAAACCTGCCATTTGCATCACCATCAATGCATTTCAAGCTTGACACCTCCTGCTCCCATCCCCAGTTTTTCGCTTTTTTGAAGAGACAGTTGAAACAATTGAAAATTTGTACCTATAGTATCTCAAATTTTACCTTCCCAGTAAGACAAAAGGCCTACACTTGGTTTTATCAGCTAACAAATATCCATCAGCTAAGGATTCACTGCCACCTCAATACAGCACAAATCCTACATTACCACAGCACAACAAACTCACAAGTGCGTGCCGAGGCACCCCAATGCTTAACCGTCAACATTGTGGGGGACAAGAGAGACCTACCAATAGTGAGATCATGGACTGGCTGAAACCGCTTGTCTGTGAACTGTAACAATAAACATGATTTTCCAACACCTAAAAAAGAGAAAAGAAAGAAGTTTTTATTAAAAGATTTACAAAAATCTGTTAACCAATAGAAATTAATTGAAGACCATGGTATATATTGCTTAAAACTCATTACTAGAACTCAAGATAACTAGACTTACCTACACCTTGAAGTGTATGCAACTTTTTCATAACTAAAAGCTGTTAACGTTCCAGAAGTCGTCAAAGCAGTTATTATTCAAAAACTGAACAAAAATAAATTCTTCTTTTGAGAAAGTAGATCTGCCTTTAAAATTAAGCAGAAAAAGGTTTCCTAACAGACCTTCAAAGTATCATTTAACATCCTCTCTTCACAGTAACTACAGGTCTTGCTGCTCCTCACAGCTCTACATCTGCTTTCTCTTCAGTACTTTCAGCTTTCTTCCAAACTAACATGATCCTCAACAGCACTCACTCCCACCCATCTGCCAGTTTATCAGCAGAGGTAACTGCAGTACATACATGGCTGTTTACAAC